CCCACAAGGATAGCAAACCAGACGTGTGTGTGTGTGAGAGAGAGAGAGAGAGAGAGAGAGAGAGAGAATGTGTGGCAATGAGCTGCATTGCACCATAGACTTAGTTCCTACACACACCTTCAGGAAGTCTCGGTCCTTTTGGGCCTCTCAGCAGAATGTGCTGTTCAGTGTCCTGTGACAGTTTGGACTGAGAGAACGTGATCATGTTTATTTAAATGTGTGTTATTTATGGGTTTCCCCTTTTCACCTTAAATAATTTATAATGTAAGCATATTGTGGACGTGTTTTGTTTACATTTGTTACTAACCTAAGATAACATTTTCTGACCGAGTTATACACTGCATTAAGTACCGAGCCATTGTTCATTAAAGCCAAAACAACGGCTTTCCAGTGTAACGAGAAGTGAAGGTATTTGTGATCAATTATAAAGCTACATTTTACCGTAATTTGCAGTAAAATGCCCGCCAAAAGTAATTAAGGCACTCATGGGGTTAAAAATACTGTAATATGACGTAGTGGTCGGATTAGCCAATCAGGCTGTAGGGGCGTGGTAAATCTCGGAAGCATAGGGCGGAGCTTCACGGCAGCGTTTAGCTGGCACGAGAGTTTGCTTTATGTGAGTAACTGAAACAAGTATGCAAATATTATAGTGCGGGAATTGTTGCGATATGATAATGCAACGAGGAAGCTTGTGTAAATAAATTATTTCATATGTTTAATGACGTGTTTGAGCAAATGTAAAAATCTTGATGCACTTCACATCCTGATTGAACTATTGAAATTGATTGTCATGAAAACAGACCACAAGCTCCTCATATTTCCTTAATATTATATATATATATATATATATATATATAATATTAAGGAAATATGAGGAGCTTGTGGTCTGTTTTCATGACAATCAATATATATATATATAATATATTCCTTGATATATAATCAAGTATTTTGTTGAATGCATTGTGAAATGGTGATAAAGTAATTTATCAAACGTATTTATTCTGTTTTATTCGTATCACAGAGAATTACATCTTTGATATGTTAATAATCTGTAAGTTTGACTATGCAATGCATGACTACTGTTGTCTATGAAACAGCTTTGGTAATATTCTCTGAAATACAGTTTAAGCTTACATTTAATCCAGTTTCTTATGCTGCTTAATTTTGGAAATCAAGTTGTCTGCAGAACAAGAACACTCCCGATGTAGTGACAACTGACCCATTGCAGGTTTGAAGACAGACTAACCAATTAGTGTGTATCATCTTAACCTGCAGGTTCAGCTTTCATGACTCCAAAATGGGAGCTGGTATCTCTACCTCGATGGGAGATGACGGCATACTGGATTCTCTCCTTCTCCTCCCATCTCTATTCTTTCTACCAGTTGCACAGGTTTTCTAAAGGTGAGCTGCCATCTGCCCAGAACAAAATGCAATTCTCCAGCTTACAAAAAAGGATCTCAGGAATCTTAGATCTCAGTAATGATATGATTTCACAATACTTAATTATCAAAGGAAAACAGATTCAAATCCCAAACCTAATATATACTTATACTTAACCCTCATCCGTCCCTCGGGTCATTTTGACCCAAAAAGTCTTTTCAAAAAAATTCTAAAAATCGTGTGTTGATCGTACCGGTCCAAGATTTCTTTACTTCGTTCACACTTGCACCGGGAATACACACACAAAAAGTTGAGTGGATTCGAGGAGTTTAAATGGGTGCAATAAAAAAAGTAGCAAAAGGGTCATTTTGGCACAAACACACACATGGTACACACACTCTCATAGAACACATTGTAATATTTTTCATGTTAATGCTGGGATACGACTGTCATTTTTTCCATTTTTTTTTACTTAACACAGTTAGATTTGAGTGATGTGGTGAAGACCAATGAGTTTATATCATATTTATATTTTTAAAAATATATTATATATTTATTTCATATTTATGTAATTGTATGAATATGCATACGTTTAGGTTATAATTCAGTTAGAATTTTTTTTTTTACAAAATTTGGATTTTGTAATGTTTCAATATATATTTTAATCCATAAACAACCAAATTGAAGCCTTAAGATTAACTAATTTCTCGTTTCACTTGTTTTGCTCATTTAAAAATCTCCTTAGGGTTCTATAGGCCCCTCTAGTGGCTGTAACCATAAAATGCAATTTTATGTAATTTTTCTCCACCAGATAGCATCAGAGACACTCAGTGACTCAATTCCAAGGCCATCTGTTGGTTTTTGATGAAACAGGACTGAAATTGTCTTTCTTTGTTTTGTTTTTTTGGTGAAATAATGTACAAAAGCTGCTTATTTGCTTATGTTTTCTTAAAAATATCCAGAATAAAAGGTAAATATGATCAAAATCACCAAAAAATAATAGAAAAACCTACATAAAAAATTAGAAAAAAATATATATAAAAATGTTCCAACATAAGCTTTCTGGACCAAAAATAAAATTAGTGTCATTTTTGGCCTTCGGGTCATTTTGACCCACGAGGGACACTTTTGTTATAGGTTCTTGAGGGACGGATGAGGGTAAAGAATAAGCTAAAAAATTTGCAACAGAACAAGATGCATATTGCATAACCATTAGACAGCCACCACCCCACAAATTTGTCCGCTAGACATAAACAAAACATATGAATTGTTTTCAGTGAATACCATATACCTGTTCAGTCATTTATTTGGATGAAATTAATATAAAATAAAAATTTTTGCTGCATTTTTAGTGCACACATGGGCTTTACTCTATGACGTGTCCGCTTGAAAATGGCTGCTGTGGTGTGTGTGTG